GCAGATAGTTAGATGTTCTTGCTTCAGATGAGAATAACTATATACTTCTAGGAGATGAACGTTTCGAAGTAATCAATCAATACGAATATATACGTGTCGAATATAAGAGCAGGTATACCATGTCTGATCTCTACACGCTCTACACGCGGCATCTCAAACTTCCCAAGAGCTGTCAGACAGAGCGATGAACAGTAATGCATGCTAGTCGGGCATGTCGTATCGCTGTTGCCGCCCTGTATATGTCACGGGACGGGTGTGTTCCTAGAGGACCGATTCTGGGGACCGTGAACACCTTCGGTGAACGCTGCTCGGCGCTGCACGTGGTTGCACGTGGTGCACCTTGAAATTGAACGTGGTGCTCATAGCAGCCTCGAAATTTTCTGCACAACAAACGCAATGGGGACATACAGTCGCACATAGGTGCCTGCAATCTGCTTATATCTGCATCTCCATTTTGACAACGGCATCTCTTATAATAAACTTGCATACCTAAATCTCGGCAATAGATGGGTGATTATTGTATCCGTTCATGAAATATCACGAAAGGACCATGATACATATTCCATTATCCCACTATCCCCGGCAGGTATTGCATAGCGTGATACCTAATTAGAAAACCAACTGACTTAAAAGTAATGTGTCGCTAATTCCAGCTCATCCAAGGCTATACAGCCAAGGATGGATATCTTCATTAGCAAATGCTCCTATATTTCACGAACTGAAGGCTTGTGCTCAGCCTCCTTTGGCGGCAGTTTAATACCTGATTAGAATCATTCTGCACACCGACCTGCATTGTTTGTGTGGGATCAACAATCGAGGCGCCAAGTGGCGTTCCGTGATCAGGGAGTGCCCGCGGCAGCATGGATTTCATACTCTGTTTGACTCTGAGTCATGCTCAAAAGCACCTCGAAGTCTGGGTGCAGAAGATGGAATATTGCCGAATCTCGACCGAATAGCAAACAATTTCGAGTCTGTGATCGTAAATCGTGATTCCACAAGCGCAATGTCTTCCGTGGTTCTATCCAGAACCTGGTGAAGACTCACGGTCAAATATTCACATGTTGCCTGGTAAGACAGACCTGACCTGTGTTGTTTTGTGATATTAGCACAAACAAACCTATTATTGTTACCATACCCAGCATCAAATATGGGTTTATAAAATAGTCCATGAACAATGATTTCTTTTAGGTTTTAGACATGCCCAAAAGTTTCGTTCCAAAGCCAAATTGATTGCTGTGAGTCCGAGTGCCCTAGCTCTACCTTACCTTTGTCGCCGTACCGTCTCATTGAATTTCTGCGCTGAATCAATACACGTGACTCACAAAACAAGTCTCTGTGTTTTGCCTTATACTTCTGATGTCAATCTTAATCAGATGTATAGTTTAATGAGTAATTAACAGAAATGGCGCTATTAAGTCGTGTCTGGCCCAAAGTGACTAATGCGACCGCCAAAAATGAACTCAGTTTTGCTTCTGATAAACAAAATTTCAAGTTCATCATTTCCTCATTCTTGTTGTACGGCCAGACAAACAATGCTCTGCCGGCTTCCCACGTGAAAACGCTCGTATTGTTAAGCGGTGCTTAATTGCTTAATAAGGAAATATCTGTCTTTTAAGGTACACGAAAACTAATTGGAGATTAATGTAAGGCGTCGTGTCGCCTGTCGGCCACTTTTCCTGTGGTGAGGAGGAGGCGTGCCATGGATGACATGTCGCCGAAAAGTGGGATTTGGACATGTTTTGAAACCACAAACTGGCTATCTGTGCTTCATCTACATCGCTCATTTTAATTGCGGCTTCTTTCCAGATGTATTTAGGGGCTGCGACCCTCAGTGGACAGTTAGACGGAGCCAGGTTCTTGCTCTGTGTGCGATTGTAGGACAGCTTTGATCAAATCTATGAAAGTTCAAAATTCCCACTGACCCAGATATATTTTCTGAGTACCTACCATATAAAGTGCTAATCTTATTCATGGTCTCGCGACCTGTCTTAGGCCCCGCATACATGCTATTTGATCAATATAATAAGCACATAAATCAATATGATCAACTAAACAGGGGGTTGCTTATAGATTATTTTAAACACAGTTCTGGTATAAGTTCATAAAATGTCGTGGATGTATATTTTCTTCCACGAGACATCCAGCCATTGATTACTGTTCTAACCAGGCGGGTGAAGACGCCTTTGACTGGCTGATCGTTCGGTTATTGGAGAAAAGTTGATGGCCGTGACACATGGTCTTCCAAAATAAATTCAGCCTTACGCATTACTCGAATGTTTTTTTTTCAGGTGTTTCACCATCATGAATGGCTTTTTAACTTCACGGGCTTTATGTATACTAGGCCGCACCATTTGCATAATACATGTGATCTCACAATACATTTTCAGCCATAACACACCAGCCGGATGCCTAGAGTGTGTAAGTGCATGACAAGAGACATAAGTCAGGCAAACTCGTGCATTTTTAAAATGTATTAGCTTTCTTATAACATTGATACACCATCCAACTCAAACGGCCCATGATTTGTGAAAGTTGAACGTGAATGCATTATTGGCTATGACTTATAAGAGGATTCAGTTTGTTTACAAGAAGTGATTCGTCGCTGAGTGCTGACACATGCAAACTTAAACACATAGAATGTTCTACAGAGTACACATTCTTTAACTTCTCATGTATGCATAATTGTATATTATGCACGGTGGCTTATGTCAAAAGACTACACAGTGCCAACACACTATAAGGATAGGGATGCTCGCCGTGCAAACTTCAATTGTACGTCAACGCCAACGGCCCAAGATTGGTTCCAGTCTGACGAAGCCGATTGTGCGTCACAGTTAAAGGGACCCTCCCACCTTCAAAAAAGTTAATGAATTGGCATGAAAGTGATGTCGCTCGGTTCAGAAAGAGTGAAAACGAATATCTACCAAATTTCATCGAAAAATATCCACCGGTTTTCAAGATATTAGACTTTTACTTTTGTTTACTTTTTTAGGATCCCCGCTGTTTCTAGCGACTTTATTTTAGAAGTGCGGCGTTTGCGGCAGATGTTGCGCGCAAATAGCATATACCACCGCGTGCTACAAAACGTTTTAGTCAAACATTTAAAAATCGTTAGATATCAGCGCTGACGTCACACATTCAGAGGGGTATTCCTAAGCATTAGCCCCTCTGAATCAAAATGCTGCAATTTTGAAATTCAATATTTCCGATTTAAGGCATTTTTCGATGTTGTGAGTGCCGAAACCGGTAATTGTGAGCCAGGGACCCCATTTTGGCTATCTCAACTCAAATCTAATGTTAAGGTGGGAGGGTCCCTTTAAGACAAGACGGGATTAATCGGGCTCAGTGAGAGCGATCTTATAATGAGGGATAACATGCTGATGCTGGAATCGGCACGGGTTTTAGGGACGTTTACCGGGCTAATGTAGGCTCTGTACGGCCTTTACAGCAGGCATTAACAGTGCAAATCCGACCATTTAAGGATTTTCTAATTTCAGTTTTAGAAGGACAAAAATCGGAACGCGCATTGAAAGGAAATAAAAAGTAAAAAGACCGTATTTTCATTATGAAAACTACCTATATCTGCAAAATTAAATATAGACGACAGACGACTCAAAACCTTCTTCGTGTAGAAAACCTCAACCTATCAGTATCTAAGTTGACATGAAAAGCATCGCTTCGTGAACGTTTGCCATGTTCCCAGCGGTCACAGTGGACCCCTGTGCCGTTGATCACCACACGAGACTCGAGCGCTCGGTATTCTGTATGGATGCTCTGAGCGATACAGCACGTGCCGTTGCAACCCGGGACACCGCCGCAGTGTCGTGTCGAGCCGGTCATCCCGGAGGTGGGATTTATGGGCACCTCTGCCTGACAGTGCGACAGTCCCCCCCCCCCCCCCCCCTCCAGGGCTAATGTATGCAGACCTTGACTGCGCGAGCCTGACGCCCTAACGGATCACGCCGGGTTGCAAGAACTCCATTTTTGCTCGTGGCTTGTGTTTTCTGTTGTCGTGTCTGGAAAAGGATTTTATCGAAATTCACGAGGTAAAAGTGTGAAGGTTCTCCGAGATCTATGTAGCTTTACGACATACCGAGAATATTTTACCATGCTTGCGTATGAAGCACCTGCGTTCTCGTCAGACGCGACGCTGGCTCGGGAGATCGCACCATCGGGAGTGACGCTGCTGTAACGTCTGCTGCACGTGCAACAGGATTTCCGGAAAATGCATTTGAAGAAGTATTTATTCAGAACGGCTTTACTTTGCATTAATCTAGTTTGTGAAAAGAAGGCACATAGAAACAAAAAAGGCATTGCGGTCAAGGAATTAGGAAAACAATCATAAACGCTTTCTCTGTTATCTAAGATTGCAAAAAGGTAGTCTGGGAACATGATAAAGGGCTTCTGGTTTTTGATGTAAGAAAAACAAATATGGAAGGCTAGACAGTAGACATGATATTAAACTTTCTCCTGTGGAATACTCAGAACACAGCTTACCAGAAGATGGCCGTGTTTCACTGCAAGACGTTTCAGCGCAAGACATTGCTAACCGCATCTGTTAACCGAACACCGGCAGCCACTTGCCTTTAGCTTAGACCCCTGGCTAGCAGAAACTATGAGCAGCTTTGGGAACAAAGCAGCAACCATGACACATACGGATGCCAAAATATCTGTAGATTGTACGAACACTAAATTAACTTCAGAAGGACATGCCTCGAAGTAGGGATATGCACACCTAATCGCTCAAGTGCACCTCTTAAGAAGCTGTTTCTTTTCGTCTCAACTGATCATACGTCTTGGAGTGGTTATTGAAGTCAACTGGAACTTACAGAACGTGCCGTGTCATAAGACACCTTGACCGTGACACAACTCTTACTTAATCCGTGAAGTTGTTTGTACCGTGTCAAATCCAAACCGTGACTATCAGTCCCCCCAAATGTCGTTAGCACGCGTTTGGCGCAATGGTTGTGCGCGTGTTGGCACTGTTGGACCACCGTCAGGGCTGACTGCGCTCCGGACTGCTGAGTGGCTGACAGCGCGTGGCGCGTGTGACCTCGGCTACGCTGCGTGTCACATGAGGTCACGATCAACTGCGCCCGAGGGCAGGACCGGTATATAGAGGCGGGCTGGAACGGTGGAGGTACAGTCAACAGTGACCGGTCAAACCGACAACTCCTCGGATCACAAACATGAAGGTGAGGCACCGAGCACTTGGTCAGATGTGTTCTGAATCGTTTCAGGAATAAGACCACATGAACCCTATGTTCATAGAAATGTTCTCTTTTTTCCTTTTTATAACTTTCACCGTAGCCATTCTCTGAAGTGAACTGACTTGTTTGTCAGCGTTTATCTGGAAGTTGACTTCGAGGCCAAATCTAGAGTGACTTTGCCAGTATTTGTCATTGTTTCCCTCACTCTATTACAGTGTGTTGCCTTTCTCACTCAGTAGATGTCCAAGTATTCGATGTTTTCAGTGCTGTGTTTCCTCTGTTTGGGTGCGTTACCCTCCTCTCTGTATGGTAGTGTTCAGTGATGTGTTCCCTCTGTTCCAGTGCGTTGCCCTCCTCTCTGTATGGTAGTGTTCAGTGATGTGTTCCCTCTGTTCCAGTGCGTTGCCCTCCTCTCTGTATGGTAGTGTTTCAGTGATGTGTTCCCTCTGTTCCAGTGCGTTGCCCTTCTCGCTCTCTGTATGGTAGTGTTCAGTAATGTGTCCCCTCTGTTCCATTGCGTCTCTGTATGGTAGTGTTCAGTGATGTGTTCCCTCTGTTTCAGTGCGTTGCCCTCCTCGCTCTGTGCGTGGCCGCTGCCGCTGCCGACGGCTATGGAGGCGCCCAGAGCCACGCCTCCGTTGAGACGTAAGTAACAACTTCTTAAGAAATAAATATGTACTGTCCAGTGTCCAGGGTCGGTAAACTTTACCAAAAATATTTTATATTTGCGATAAATGTTAAGTTTGAACGTATGAAACCTGCCTTGATCTGCCTGGAAAGGATTGTTTTTCTGCTAAATTTAATGCAATTTCATTCAAAAAGCGCCAATTCCTGTTAATTGGACGAAAAAGTGTTCCCCAATAAAGCTGTACGAATGTTTGTTTTCAGGTACAATGCCTGGGGCAGCAGCAAGTACGGTGTCAAGAACGTGCACCCTAAATATGTGTAAGTCTATCGCTGTTCCGCCTCCACAATTCCTGAATATTGTTTAGATTTAACGCTTCAAGTTCCTTCTGTTTATTAAATAATTAAGTGCCTGATGATGGTACTTTTGAATTTCACTTCATTTTTATTAATTTGCTCCTGATCGCCTCCAGAATAAGCTGAATGTAAAAACTATCCGCGTCAGATGTTTGGCGGCCTTCATCTCGATTCTAACACGCCTTGCGACTACTTATACACCCAGATCATACCTACATACAAACCAAAAACTCCCTCGATCCCCCACTGACCAATGACGTCACGTTTCAGGGCCGGCCACGGCGGCGGCTACGGCAAGGGCGGCTACGGCAAGGGCGGCTACGGCAAGTTCGTCGGCGGCCACGCCCAGATCTACGCCCAGGCCAAGGGCACGGCCGGCTCCGGCTACGGCGGTGGGCACGGCGGCTACGGCAAGGGCGGACACGGCGGATACGGCGGTGGACACGGCGGATACGGCGGTGGATACTCGTACAAGTACAGCGCCGATGTGGGTCACGGCGGATCCGGATACGGTCACTGAGCTGAGAAAGGTCTGGCGCTGAGCGCTGGCGCAGCTTTCTGTCTTTCAGGTGATGACGTGTGGGACTTGATACACTGCGTGTGTACAATACATATGCATTGACTACAATGATTTTCTATTTGCATTTCAATGAAAAGACACGTTCAGTTTGGACTAGTAGATGATCCTCCACTGCAAACGATGGCTGGCTATGTACCGATCACAGTTATTCTTAAACCCCTTTTAGCCTCAAAGGATTTAAAGGGAGATAATGAGCTTTCTTTTTTCTTTAATAAAAATTACTCGACATCTATACTATTTCTACTGTAGTTTCTATAAAATATGAAAATTTCCTAGCACATTTTCGTATGTGAAAAAGGTTTTTATTTTTGCAAAAAAGAAGCAGTACTTGCAGTACTTGTAACACCCACCGAAATGCGTTGTCCTTCTTGTCCTTCTCTATAAAAAAGTCGCAGTATATGGCGCTTTTGTTTCAAACAGCGACGCTTGGGTTTTTGTTTATGTTATCGCCTTGTCGTTGCTTGGTTGTAAGGATTCTAATTTGAATTAGAGTTAATTCGGTTTAGAATTAATTAGATTCGTACATAGTGCCTACTCTTCTTTGTTTCCAAGTATTATTTTGCGCCACAAATGAACGGCATGCGCCAGAAACGCAGCCAAATCTTGCGATTGCGACTACGAAATTCATTATTTTGGCCTCAGAGCCTGAAGCGAAAAATACAAGCATATTTATTTCAAAAAGACTTCAGGTTTGTCGAACGGTGTTATGAGAATTTTGATAACAGTACTGCATAAGTTTTTCAGTGATGCCGCAAAAGTGTTGTATCTATCTTCTTTTATTGTGCAGTCGGCGGGACCGATTCAAAATTGAGTCGTTGCTACTAAAATAGCAGCATATGGCCTCAGATGATGAACAGGAAAAATAGTTGCGTAAATTTAGACATAAACCACCCCCAAACCATGAATATCTTTTGAAGGCACTATAGACGACCATTAACTAACTAGATGTGATGAAGATCAAATGTAAGGAATACGCTCATTTTACAAAATTACATGCAAGTACCAAAAAGTGATGTAAGTACTTATTCAACGGTCATTTTCAGCGCTCCCCGCTAACGTGACTTCAAGTTGAGATATTTGCGGCAAGGTACCGCATTGAGCAAAATGGTTTTAATTTACATTATAACTTGTTGTGTTTTGTCAGAAAATGATCCTAACTCAGATTTTGTGGAAAAAGGTCATTATCTCCCTTTAACCCGCGCCCCACTGGGGTCTGCGTATAACACGCCCTACTGGGGGGGGGGGGGCTATTCATACCCCCCTCCTAACTCCGAAACTACTGGGCCGATCGTCAAAATTCAAACGGCGTCTGATAGCCCCGGAAAAACTGTCGAGCGAAACCTAATTTCATTGACCTCGAGGTCACCGATGACGTCACAGGTCAGGTCAAAGTAAAAATTATTAGCATTTTGGCTTCTTCACGTTTTGGGCTCTGGCCGCCGACTTACAAGTCAGATCAGGCTCATTTTTGGTTCACACACTCGTGAATAGATGCTCTAGATACTCTGAGGGTACCAAACTTGTACTTTGATTTTCAGGTCAAGGTCAGGTCATCACAGGTCACGAAAATATTATATCATCCATCGGTCACGTGACACATGTTTTATGGTCCATTTAGGTCAGAGATTTCGAATTTGATGTCGTCTGTGTCATTCGAGGTCATTTTGAGTCAAATTTAGCCCTCGCCGGACCTATTGGTTTTCTACATACGCGCCGGCCGAGGGGGGGAGGGGGCGGGTACGACCCCCCCCCCCTCGCCGTTTCGCCCCTGGTGGAGCTAGCGCGTCGCGGAAAAAACGAGCGTGTGCGCCGTTACGAGACGCAGAGATTGGTACCCGATTTTAAGGTCCTAGGTCAACCGGTGACCTCTGAGGTCAGGTCAAGTGCCCCAAGGTACGGTTCAGTTTTTGGTGAATAACTTCGCAAAAAACGGCCGCAGAGCGCCGATTTTGGCAGCATCGTGTTCGCCTTGCTCAGGCGCGTCGAATGATATACTTTTTGTCCGGGTCAGGTCAACTTGGGGTGTTGACCTCAGGTCAAGGTCAGGTCAGCACCCCCAGGTCACGAAGTTGGTCGAAAGAGGTCATGTCGCATATCATTCGATTCGGCAGGCCCTCCTGAGTCCATTGGTGGCTTTCCCGACTCGCTAGCTCAATTTGATCAAGAGTTATTGACGAAAAACTAATATGACCTTGATGACGTCATAAATGACGTCACGAAAGGTCAACATTGCAAAAGTGACGCATCTAACCTTGCAAGGAGTGCACCAAATCACGATTCTGTGTGCTTGAGATAGTTGGAGATCGTTCCCGGCGCCAGAATAGCAGTTTGAATTTTTCCCCATTGACTTATAATGGTGAGGTCACGAAAATGACCTGACCTCATATGACCTTTAGGAAAAATCCGAGATATACAAGTTGTGTGACTCATAATGGATACTAGATCCTGCAAGTTTCATTTCCCTGTGACATCTCCTCTGGCAGTGAGGGCGTTGCGAAGTTGCGACATCTGAAGACCGTGCAGAGGTTCACTTGTGACGTCATAGGTCAGTGACCTGACCTGACCCAAAAATGCAGTTGGTGTCAAAAGATCCGGCTTGGATCAAAGGTCAGGTATGCCAAGTTTCAGCTCTCTATCGCCAGCGTGTTCGGAGCTATCGCGAAAAAACCCTATGGGGGGGGGGGCGGCACCCGCCCCCCCCCCTCGGCCGGCGAGGGTTAGCTCAGGTCAGGTCACTTTCAGGTCAAAAAAGGTCAAATTTTGAAGTTAAAATTTTTCAACAAAAAAGGTGTCTATTGGATGCAGTTTGAGCTCAGGAACACGATGGTGCTATTTATATTGGCGTACGATGTCAAATTCATGCTGAAAAACTGATTTGAAAAATTAATAATTGTTAATTTTTTGCAATAATGCGTATAACTTGGCCATTTTTGAAGATATTTAGCTAAAACTTGCTAGAGTTAGTTATACTAATGCGTTCTATCACATATATTCCGGTTTTTCCGAAAAGTCAAAAATTTTTTGAGAAAAATGTAAAAATATAAATTTTGAGTTTTATTATATAAAATTTTCGAAATTTTCAAATTTTTTGAAATCCGAGATAGCAGTTTGATAGCGCAGAGTATTCTGAGTCCTCTCATGCAAAGAAATTGGATCTAGCTTAAAAACTGAGCTCTTGGGAGCGATTGCCGCGGTTCAATGTTTTGCGTCGAAATCGGCCGAACATGACGTCACTCTGACGTCATTTACGGCCGACCTATGGTAGGTACGAAGTTCAAATTTTGACACAAGGTGTCAAATTGATGCAGCCGAAGGTACTGAAAGTTTGGCGTTGATACGTCGAGCAGTTTGGAAGTTATTGCAGAAAAACGGGAGGGGGGGGGGGGGCTATAAATAGCCCCCCCCAGTGGGGCGCGGGTTAAGAGGACAACGTTCTTTTATTTAGAAGGTCTCTTATCCAGACAAGTCTATTTCAATGCTAAGCGAGTAGCGTTGAAATTAATGCAGATGGATGATGTCACATTTAAGCTTTATTCATGGGCTGTATCTAAATAGTAAATAGTATCCCTTACTTGCGAGCTGTCCTGCAAAGCGTATGCAGATCATTAGCATGTGCTTACTGTCTATCTAAATGCAGTAGAAACAACGTGTGCATTGTGCAGTATGCATTGTTTATTGTCAATGCTAGAAGTGCTTGCATTAGGAAAGCTTTAACATCCCTGCTCCTGCACAGCTCCAATCCATGGCACACACAATACTTCCACGTGGAAACAAAGACACCTACGTTGCAGTGAACTGAGCAACGCATTCAGGGTTTTCCACGCTGATCTGTCTACTTATAAGGAGACTCGGGACGGTTAGGTCACGTTCTTGGAACTACGACGGCCTTGAGCGATAATTAACGAGATAGGAGGACCCAAGGCAATGCTGAGGGCTCTGAAACGACACGAGACTATGAAGCAACAGTTGGGGTGACCGGCGATATTATTAAGACCCCTTAAGTTTAGGAGTAAAGTCAGGAATAATAATGTTCAATGTTCACCGCATTAAATCTGGAATAATGAATGTAGTCATCAAGCTACGTCCCACATAGGAAAAATGAAATATAAAGTAGGAAGTAGGCACATACTCAGAAAGAAGGAGTGTGCAAACAGGTCTTCTCAGCTATCTGCTCTGCATAAACTGCGTATTACTGTTGTCCATTTAATTTCTCACAAACAGTAAAGTATGTAGATGTCAAGTTCTTGCTCTCATGTTAGGCTATTTGCCGCATTATTGTCATCCATTTTTTCGAGCATCTTTGTCACGACATGTTGTTTTTCAAGCCGTGGACAGGGCATAGCTTTTAAACTGGTAGCCTTGAGTTAAATGGTATATCACGGGACCCATCTGAAGTGAAAAGGCAATCACATGTCCATTTATTTCCATGCGACATGTAAGCGGACGTCAATAGCCCGGCACCGTATCACGGTTTCAGCTCGAGTATGTGGCACTCCCTACCGATAACCATGTATGCAGCAAAAGCATGCCATCCAACATGTTAGCACCGCTACGGGAGGGAAACAAAAACTGGCTAACAAGCGCTGTGGAAAAATGATCCCGCTTCACTGCGTCCTCTTCCCTATTGCTCACGCTATGGTTTGATTGGAATCTTGCTGTTCTACTAAATGCATTGAAGTGTCGTTCGGAAGTTTTTTTTTGTAGGCAGGGCATAACTCATCAAGGACAAAGTAGCTTGCAGATAAGCCCGATACTAATGACGTCCAAATTAGATCAGTGTGGTATTCGAAATATATTCCAAGTCTCTACTATGAAGGGCTACAGCACACACGCACGACAGAAAAAGAGGATCCAATTCCAAGTTCAGTCTACGACTTACTATTTGGCTTTTTTTAAATAGAAATTAACTATATCTCGGGTATGATACAATGACCGATGTATCCGCGTCTCAAAGCTGAAATAAATAACCAATCGGACTTGCGGTCTCATGCAGGCGAGGTCGAATCAATTTCGCACAGCGTTGGTAAAATAAATAAGTAACTAAATCGTTATCTCA